GGAAATATTTAATTCCAATTAAATTTAAGAATCGCAATAGACTATATTTTTGAAATTTTTTATCGAATTCACGAAAGGTTGAAAAGTAGAACGTGACAAATGTTTGAAGAAAATTTGATCGAAATCAGAATAAAACATCGACTCTGACAGTCATCGATACTTATGTTGAATATGAAAATTTCCACATCGAGAACAGCAGAAATGCAAAGTTTGATCACACAGAGACAATCTAACAAAAGGCGTTGCTTCGAAGTTCCATCTGAAATATTGATTTTCACGTGATATCAAGAAGAAATTCAACAAGCTCTGGGCAGACCAAGGTAAATGTGATAATTGTGACAGCAACTATTCTCAAGTGTTACTTCTCAGTTACTTTTAAAATATAATATATTTTTGTTGAGATAAAAGTACAATTTCTTGAATATTAATTGTGAAATGGAGATATTATAGAGAGAATTACTACACAAACATAAAAAAATATGTACATATGCATACATCACACGCAACATATACAAACAAAAATAAAAACAAATATAAAATATTCAAATTAAAATATAAAAATAATTAGAAATTAATTTTTTGTTTGTAAGTAGAATTAAAAAATTAACATTTTTGTACGATGTTATATATAAATTATTTTTTAAAATATTAAAAAATATTATTTCTGTTTTTAATATAAAGCAGTTTTTATATTGTGCCATTTGTATTTACAATATAAAATTAAATATTTGTATGCATAACATATGTTACTCTTTTTCTAAAGTAGACAAAATAAATAAAACTTTTACGACAACACGTCATGTAAGTTAAATAATAATAATAAAAAATGTATACTCAATAGAGAAGCAAAAGAGTTCTCTTTTTCTTTCTCTCTCTCTCTCTCTCTCTCTCTCTCTCCCCCCCCCTCCTCTTTCATTATTTTCATTTTATAATAAAATCATCCATTACATCGTTACATTGTACATATGTCACTCTCTGACAAATAGTATACAAAGTGGATTTTCAGTTACATCCATGCCCATTTTAATAAATTATGTCGAATAACGCCAGTTCATACTATGCCGTAGATGAAAAGCGATTCAATATCGAATTATTAATCTTTCCGTCCATTAATATAATTTCAACATACAATTTAACGTTTTATTACTAGAATGCTTTTTTAGGCGTCTTCGTATTACAACGTACGATTTATTTTCAATGTAATAATAATTTTAATATATAATATTAT